CCCCCTGGGCTGCCTGCCCCCGCCAGACCCCAGCACCTGCCCTGCTGGGACTGGCCAGGGTCCCCCAGTCCAGGAGAAAAGATATTGCAGAGAAGGTGCCAGCCGCTCTTGCTGCCAGGATTGAGGGGAGGGTAGGGGTGGCTGGGGACAGGAACAGCCCGCAGGGCCTCAGGATCCCGGCTGGGGGCTAGCTCCGCTCCGTAGACCTGCAGGAACCAAGAGGCGAGGGGGTCAATTTTCACCAGACTCCTTACTCCATCCACTTCCCCCAGAGGAAGGCAACAACCTGACCAAAGCCCCAAATCCAGCTTCTCCTCCACTCTGACAGCCAAGGGAATGACACCCTTGTTCCAGCCCCAGGGACACCCTCTCCCCATCCCAGCACCAGTCCTGGTACCCAGAGGTACCCATAAGGTCCCCCATCCCCTTTATGGAGCAGGACTTACAGAGCAGGAAGCGCCGCAGGTTCTGGGCAGATCCCCCTGAGAGTAGGTAAGCCCAGGCAGCAGCAGCGGCCATTAGCAGGTAGGAGGGCACCAGGCTGCCCACGTACAGGGGGTTGCAAAACGTCTGGGGAGAGAGGCGGGAGAGGAGAGGGATAAGCAGGCAGGATAGGACAGGGACAGGATGGGTAGCAGCGTCACCGCCTTGACGAGCGGAGCGGGACAGGGGACACTAGCTCCAGGATTCAGTTTGTGAAGGGCCAGCTGCAAGTCCCCCAAACCCAGCTGCTTTGCTAGTGCCGAAGGCTGTTTCCCCCCTGGCACGGGGACCAGCACGCACCACAGCCGTCCCTGAATATAGGTCCCAGCACAGAGCTCCGCTCCCAGCTACTCACCGACCCCGAAACAGCAAGGTGCATGACAACGACTGCCGTGATCTCCCACCAGCGCCGATGCTCACAGCCATGGAAGAAGAGGATCCCCCAGAAGGTGTGAAGGAAAATCAGCACCATGGTCATAAAAGCTGCAGGGAGCAGCAGAGGGGTGTCACCAGGGAACCACCCGCCCTGATCTGGCCTGCAGGCTTGGGGAGGAATGGAGAGGAGCTGGGAAAGCGGACTAGTGGCACTGCTGGGCCGGACTGGGAGCTGCTGGGGCAGACCCCAAGTGTAGAAAGGATGGGGGAGAGGAGCAGGGAGGGTCACAGAGGACAGAAAGAAGGATTCGGCACAGAGAGATGTGACAGGGGACTGTAAGGGGCTCAGATGGGTAGAGGGTGCAGCACAGAGGGGATAGCATGGAGGGGAGACTCCAGTCCCCCCCAGGTCTGCCGCCTCTGTGGTGGGGCAGAGACGTGAGCGAAGGGTGCCAGTCGCTCACCTGAGGTCAGGAAGTAGAGCTGCGAGTCCCCGTGGATGCCCACGGTGCCGGGCCCTAACGCGTCTGCCAGGAGATTGATCATGGAGAAGGCGCCGCTCATGAGCCCAAAGCCCACACCAGCCACTGCCAGGACAGGGACACCGTCAGGCCGTGAGCCTCCCAGGGCCACCCCAGGCACCTCCCAGGCAGCTTCGGCGTGAATAACCTCCCTTTCCCCCCAGCACCATGCCCAGTCCTGCCCAGGCTCGCCCCTGGCCCCGTGGTCGGTGTGCCCTGCTCTGTGTGCCACTCACCATATGCCATTTGCTGGATGGAAATGGGGGAGCAGCCGTCCTCACTGAGGGCCACCAGCCCCTCGATGGCCTTCCTGTGGGGTGAGAGCACGCTGGAGCCCGGCACAGCCCGGCCACCTCCGGAGGCATGGTGCAGCACCAGGATGGAGCAGATGGGACTGGGGTCTCACTCTGCACCATCCCACCCTCCTGGTAACCTCCCCATCACCAAGCTGCAACACCCACCATGGAGAGCATCCGCATGACTGCCCTGAACCACTAGAAAAACCAGGCATGTGAAAACCACACGAAGCCACATAGAAAGATTTTCCACTCAGGAATGTGAGTGCCAGCCAGCCCTGCAGAGCAGGGCTGGGGTGAGCGGGACAAGCAAGCAGCACCCCCCCACGGAAAGCAGCCCCAGTGCAGGCGTGGGAGGCGCATGCTGGGAGGGTGTACCTGATCACTGCATTTATACTCTTAGATGTTGAAAAAAATGGAGGGGGTGCAGGGAAGAGCTCAATGAGCTAGAGAAGTTCTTTGGGGAGAGAAACTGGGAGAGGTGGGCTTCATAATTTTTATCTGCTAGGGGTGTGATGGGTGAGGAGGACGCCAGAAGGCTCCTCAGCCCTGGGAGGACAGCAGCGCTTGCAACCGGAGATCCGCAGGGCAAATGAAACGCAGTAGTTTGTGTTAGAGGCTGCTCCGTGGAGCTCTGCTACCCTCTGCCTGCCCGCCTCCGGCAGCGCCCTGCTACAAGGAGCGGTGCAAGCCTGCGTACCTGGCCTTCCCCCAGCCCCTCGCCAGCGCCCAGCCAGTCGGGAAGGCTGGGAGTTATGAGGGACGCCGACCCCAGTATCGCCTCCCCTTGTCTGCCTGCCCAGCCCCAGCACAGCGTCCGTCCATCCGTCCGAACGCAGGACAGGGTGCAGCGCGTGCTCACCCGGCAGGCAGCACAAACCAACCCCCGCGCTCTGGGTCGGCAGTGCCAGGGAGGCCAGGAGCTGCCGAGGCTGCACCCAGACTTTGCCCCAGGCTGGCCAGGGCACCGAGCACGGGGCCGGTGGCAGTGTGCCACCTCACAGAGCCCCAAAATCACCTTCAGGCTGTTCCTGCTCACACAAAACCACCCCTAAGAAAGGAACAAGACTTGCCAGGAGGCGAGGGCAGATCCCTAACCCTTCTCTGTCACCCACAAAGCAAAGTGGGCATTCCCCCATGTCTGGCATCCCCCTGCGGCGTCCCCCCGAGCTGTGGGAGCACTGCTGGTGCTCGTCACCAGGGCAGAGAGGATATGACATGTCCTGTAGCAGCCCAAACCCACAGCCTACCTGTCCCGAATTCAGGGAGATGCTGCCAGCTACCTCAGCCCTGGGTCCTCCAGACCTTAGGGCTGCTCTGCTCCACCACCTGAGACCCACTCGAGGTCAACATACCGACGCAGGTACCACCCGCGTGCTCCCAGTGAGGACCAAGGTGGCTTGGTGCCACACTTGGCATGCCCCCCAGCCCAGGAACTCCCAGCTGAAATCTGGCACCCACCACGGCCGGGAAGACGGGAGGACCATCCGGCAACACTGGAGCAGGGTGGGAGATGCCCTTACCTGAGGAGCTTGTAGTAAAGGAAGCGGAAGGCCTCCTGCAGCAGCACAGAGAACATCACCCCAAATATCAAGAGCCCCTTCTGCAGCGGCTCATCCCGGGGGTCGCTGGCTTTAACCGCGATAAACCAGATGAGAGAGGAGAGCAGCAGCGACACCAGCCAGAAGAAAGCCCTGTAAGAGAGCGAGCGCCTGCTGGCACCGGTGCTGTGCTGGGACCAGTGCCGGTTACTGGTGCTGGTGGCATGCCCGTGCCCATGGGCGCTACGCCTGCACCCTTCTGTGTTGGTACTGGCACTGGCAGCTGTGCCCCGGCCTTGCCCACTCTCCTACCAGTACCAGCACCGTTCTGGTATCAGTGCTGGGCAGGTGGTGCCCGCGCTGGTACGGCTGCTGTGCCTGCACTCCTCCTCTGCCGGTAACCAGAACTGGCACCAGTGCCAGAGTTGGGCCTACACCAGTACCAGTACCAGTGCCAGGCTCACATCCACACTGCTACCACTTCCAGTACCATACCCTACTGATCCCACTGTGGTACTGGTACCAGTGCCTCTGCTGCATGCATGCACCAGTACCACTACCAACCCTGCACTGGTACTGGTGCCCCTGTCATACGCACAATGGCACCAGTACTGGTCGCCCTGTTGTGCCTCTGCCGGTACCAGTCACGTCCCTGTCATACCCGTGCTGGTACCAGCACCCCTGTCACACTCATACTGGTACAAGTGCCCCTGTGATGCGCACACTGGTACCAGCACTGACACTGGTACCAGCACCCCATCATGCCTGTACTGGTACCAGCATCGGCACTCACACCGGTGCCCCTCTCACACCCATACTGGTACCAGCACCGGCACTGGTACCAGCACCCCTGTCACACCCATACTGGTACCAGCACCGGCACTTGTACCAGCGCCCCTGTCACACCCATACTGGTACCAGCACTGGCACTGCTACCAGTGTCCCTGTCACGCCCATACTGGTACCAGTATCAGCACTGGTACCAG